GGTGAGGAGCAGCAGTTACAAACCGTTAATGCACACAGCTGCTAACAGAAAGATTGGAGTATGAAGTTCACGTAAAGGTTCCTCAGATAAAGAGCCGTGACAGTCTACTCAGCCTTTGAAAACTCTATGGAGCCGAGTTCTCCTCTGACATACTTGGAGTTGTCATGAGTATCTTCTCAACAACAACTGGTTGCACTCCTGTAATCTGGGTTGTAAGCCGAGTTGTTGGTAGAAGCAGGCTGAGAGCTCCTGACTTTGTCCCTGACAAAGCTGTTCTCTGTTCAAAATAATTATCCAGGAATTTGGGAAATGGATCTCTGGATCAATTATAGCTCCTCTCTTCCTTCTTCCCACCATCACTGTTAGAGACAGATGCAAGTGGGCGAACCAGCCCTGGCGGACCCAGTCCCAAGCACCAATAGCTCCTTCCCCAGTACCAGAATTTTCCTTCATCTGTAAAGGAAATTAATCTCTTGAGGTTCCTGGTTTAATTTAGCATGTCTAGGAGCAAAGGGCAGAGTTTGTAGTATAATAAATCCAACTCTGAGTCGTCCATTACTGGAATCTGTCACAGATGGTAATCATTAAGACATTAACATCTTGAAGGAGAGAGCTTTATTCAGAATCATAAATAAACTGTAACCAAGGCTTAGATTTATAAAACTATTTAAAAAAAAAAAGACAGCTGCATGGACAACCAGGAATTTATACTGCAGGGTTACAAAATCAGTGGAATGCGTGACAGCTTATTGAATAAAATCTGGGAGCTGGGGACAGTGTGATGAGGTGATGGTGACTTATTCTGCAGTTAACGGGCCTCCAGTTAGAAGCTCACAAGGTTAGGTCCTGGCTTACCTCGTGAATTACAAGCCCAGAGAAAATAGGGTGCTGGCATCTAAACATGGCTTTGAAATTCCTAAACCTTTCTCAGTGCCATTAAGCGTGGACATCCTTACCTATATTCTCTGATTAATGCTGTCTTATAAATGAATTTTCAGATCCTTGCTGATATTCTCAAAGGCCCTAGAGTTTCTCTGAAGCATCAGCCAATTTGACTTTGACTGAGAGTCTCCCTACTGTGCAGGCCATCCCAGGAGGCTCTGGGTTGTAGAGCAGCAGAGCACAAAGTGAAGCCACTGTCCTCTGGTCAGATATAACAACTACAGTACACAGGCCTCAGTGTGTGAGGCAGCCAGTAACCAGAGAAGTCAGGGAAGGAACAAAGCATACATGAAGGCTGGAGCGTCAAAGAAATATGTACAGGAAAAGGGATATGATTTGTCCTTGGAAGACGAGTGAGGCCTGTGCACAGGTGAGGAGAGGTTAGCTTTGTCCTCACCCCCTCACACAGTCATGCATCCATGTTTCCTGTCCCTGCTTTGTTGTTGTGAAGTGCCATCGAGTCGGTTCCAACCCATAGCATAACCATAACCCTGTATAGGGTTTCCAAGGAGCGACTAGTGAGCTTGAACCACTGACCTTACTGTTCAAAGCAACTTTGCAGTCTGGCTCATTAACCCACAGCACCACACCAGGTGCCATCAAATCATGCATAGCAACCCTATACACAGCAAAATGAAACACTGCCCAGTCCTGCACCATCCTCACTATCATAAAGCTTGAGCCCATTGCTACTGACACTGTGCCAATCCATCTCATTGGGGGGGGGGGGGTCTTCCTCTTCTCTGCTGACCCTTCACTTTACCTCATATGTCCTTCTCTAAGGGACTGGTCCTTCCTGATAATATGTCCAAAGAATGAGAGACAATGCCTTGCCATCCTGGCTTCTAAGGAGCATTTTGGCTGCCCTTCTTACAACACAGACTTGTTTCTAGCAGTCTACAATATTTTCAATATTCTTCACCAACACCATAACTCAAATGCATCGATTCTTCTACGGTCTTCCTTATTCACTGTCCAACTTTCACATACATATGAGACTATTGGAAATAACATGGTTGGGTCAGTTGCACCTTAGTTTTCAAACGGACATCTTTGCTCTTGAACACTTTAAAGAGGTCTTGTGCAGCAGATTTGCCTAATGCAGTGTCATTTGATTTCTTCTGAGTGTTTGCTGCTTCCCTGAGTGTTGTTAATAGTAGATCTGGGCAAAATGAAGTCCTTGACAACTTCAGTCTTCTCTCCATTTATTTATTTATTGATCCAGGTGTGGGGATTTTTGTTTTCTTTACACTGAGGTGCTACCCATACCAAAGACTGTGGCTTTTTATCTACATCAGTAAGTATTTAAAGTCCTTTTCACTTTCAGCAAACAAGGCTTTATCATCTGTATATCGAAGGTTGTTAATGAGCCATGTTAACAAATTAATCTTGATGCCATATTCTTCTTCATAGACTCCATCTTCTCAGATTATTTGCAAAGCATACAGACTGAATAAGTATGGTGAAAGAATAAAACCCTGGTGCACACCTTTCATGATTTTAAATCATTAAGTGTCCCCTTGTTCTGTTCAAACAACTGTCTCTTGGTCTATGTACAGATTTCTCATGAGCACAATTAAATGTTTCTGAATACTTTTTCTCTTCAATGTTGTCCCTAGTTTGTCATGATACACACAGTAAAAAGCCTTTGCATAGTCAATAAAGCAAGGTAAACATCTTTCTAGTATTCTCTGCTTCCAGCCAAGAACCATCTGATGACAGCAATGATATATTCTTCATACCATGTCCTCTTCTGAATCCAACTTGAACCTCTGGCCGTTCCCTCTCAATGTACTGTTGCAGCCCTTTTTGAATTATCTGTAACAAAATTTTACTTGCATGTGATATTAATCATATTGGCCTATGATTTCTGCATTCCATTGGGTCTCTCTCTTTGGAATAGGCACAAATATGAGTCACTTCCAATCAGTTGACCAGGTAACTGTCCTCCAAATTACTTGACATAGATGAGTGAGCGCCTCCAATGTTGCATCAGTTTGTTGAAATATTTCAATTTGCATTCCATCAATTCCCATAGTCTTATTTTGCCAATGCCTTCAGTGCAGCTTGGACTTCCTCCTTCAATACTACTAGCTCTTGATCATATGCTATCTCGTGAAATAGTTGACCATTATCCATTTCTATGTGTACAGTGACTCTATTACTTCAATCTTCTTTTGATGCTTTTTGCATCTTTCAATATGTTGCCTATGTTGTTGTTGTGAAGTGCCATGGAGTCGGTTCTGACCCATATATAGCGACCCTATATAGGGTTTCCAAGGAGCAGCTGGTAAGCTTGAACCACCAACCTTGCAGTTTAAATGGCTTTGCAGTCTGGCACATTAACCCACAGCACCACACCAAGACTCCCATTGTTGTTGTTGTTGTTATGTGCCGTGGAGTCAGTTCCGACTCATAGCAACCCTGCACAGGGTTTCCGAGGCTGTAAATCTTTACGGGAGCAGAAAGCCTCATCTTTCTCCCGCAGAACAGCTGGTAGTTTTGAATTGCTGACCTTGAGGTTCACAGCCCAATTCATGACCACTACGCTACCAGAGCTCCTTACCCAGGACTCCCATAGTATCCTTCAATTTTGAAAGTCAAGGCTTGAATTTTTTTCTTCAGTTCTTTCAGCTCAAGAAATATTGAGCATGCTCTTCCCTTTTGGTTTTCTAACTCCAGGTCTTTACATTTCATTTTAATACTTGACTTTGTCTTCTCAAGCTGTCCTTTGAAATTTTCTATTTAACTTTCTAAGTTCTTCATTTTTATCATTGGTTTTAGCATCTCTACATTTAAGGGTACGTTTCAGTGTCACTTCTGACATTCATATTGGCCTTTTCCTTCTTTCTTGTCATCATAATAACCCTTTTAGAAGTCTCAAATAAAACACTCCTAGTTTCCTCTTAAGGAGCAACTTCGGAAACCCTGTACAAGGGTCGCTTTGAGTCAGAACCGACTCCACGGCACATAACAACAACAAGTTTCCTCTTGAGCTCTGGTGTGGCACTTTAGGATAAATACTGGACTGATAACCACAAAGTTAGCAATTCAAACCCAAGTAGTGCTATACCCAGGTAACCATTCCCAATCCCCACCTCATGCTACCACCCCCCAAAAAACAAAAGGTTGCCAAGGGGTGAATTCTGACCCAAGGCAGCTAGCTCCATGTATCCAGGTATGTGGCCCTACCCAGTATCCTTTGGTGGGTTTCTCTGCGCTTGCAGGATGCTCACTGAGAGAACAATGAACGGAAGCGGGACCCTAGGTAGCATTACTCAGCCCAAGCCAGTGGAGCTTTCTTATCAAATTGTACTGCAGCCCAACATAGCACTGTTGTAAACACAGCTGGTTTCCAAATAGTTCCTCCATGCTGACCACCACACTTCCCATCTGCCCTCACTGGTTTTAAAGCATGACAAGCGTTTGCTAACATTTTCTTCTCTTCTCTTTCTCTTCCAGGGTCGCTGCATCAACTTCACCAGAGTGAAGAACAATCCACCCACCAAGTACCCGCTCAACAACGCCTACCACAGCACCTCGCCGCCTCCCACCCCAATTTACACGCCCCCAGCCCCAGCTCCGCATTGCCCCCCTCCACCCCCCAATGCCCCCACCCCTCCAATCCCATCCCCACCTTCCATCCTTCCCCCTCCACCGCAGGCTCCACCCCCCAACAGAGCACCTCCCCCCTCTCGCCCTCCTCCTAGGCCTTCTGTCTAGAACCCAAAGTTCAAGCTCAGGCCCTCAGAAACTTTGGGGAGGAGACGCCTCTGTGGTGTTAGAACACGTCTTTCCAGTAAGAGGAGGCTTCTACTTTGGAAATGAGTGGGTTCAAAGCCCACTGACGTTCACACACACTTCAAAAATTGGTTTCCAATGCCAATACACCGGAAATGGTGATCCGTGGAAAGAAATAGAAATTTGGAATTGCCTACAAACAAATGATGAGGCAACGACTGTCACATGTATAGCTAGCGGTTCATCACCTCTAGAATGTTCCAGAGAAAGTGAAAACTGCCAAGAAGCTCTCAGTGGTAATACGTGCCTCAGAAACTAGTAAGAAAATCTTTTTTCTGAGGGTGAAACACAGAGAGTCGATAAAGAAATAGCATTGCTGAGTTTCTGAATGCTGACTTCCTTCCTGCATTTCATCTCCATCTTTTGACCTGGGATCCTTGGCCTAGGAACCAAGGGATCCCTCACCTGTGTTCCACCTGTGAAGTTAGAAACCCTTTGCCTACAATTTTGGAAAAGTCAAGGCCCCCCCCGCCCCAGTGTGGCAAGAAATGCAACATCAGACAGATATACTATCAAAAGAATATTCTGGGATTTTCAGATGAGTAAAAAAAAAGAAGTGTGCCTATCCGCCTTTCCAATTTTCCCAGTGAGGAAGAGAGCAGGTGTTTAGTGATGAGAAAAGGTATGTTGTAATGTTGATGTGTAAGTGAAATCAGCAGTGTGCATTGACAGACGGGGTGTATTGATAAGAATGTCAGACACTTTCTAAAACCCATAGGCCATCGACAGCTGGAAGTGGCTCACTTTGGCCAGATATGGTCCCTAAATCAACAGACAGTGGCATTATGAAAGAGCAACTTGTTAATGAGTCATGTTAATAATCAAAGTTTGGCTTTGATTTAAATCACCTCAGATATGATTGATCCAGTTTTGGGGGGTTTTTTTTAGAGACAAAGTTTATATTTACAAAATGGTATCTTTAACACCTACCATTCCATCTCACATCTCACACCTCACACCTCACATCTCACATCTCACACCTCACACCTCACACCACATCTCTCACATCTCACACCACAGCTCACCTCACATCTCTCACATCTCACACCACATCTCACCTCACATCTCTCTCTCTCTCTCTCTCTCTCTCTCTCTCTCTCAGTAAAATAAGGGATGCAGGCATGCATCCTGCAACATACAACAACATAACATGCAGGCTTTGCAACATATTCAGAATATGATCAGCTGTTCAACAAAGTTAAATGCATTAGGTATTCAATCCAGATATGCTTAGCCTGAAATTTCCACCAACCCTGAGACCACCCACTTCCTCCAGCCTTTCTGAATCTGTGTTCCTCAGTAAGTCCTAAACATTGGATGTCATCACCCAGTGTTGAAAACAAAGGACTTTACTGCTAACTACCCTGTTTAAAATTATCTCCCCTCCCAGCTTTCCACAGAACCTAAAAATTGTAAACATACACTGTTTTCACATTCTTGAAACTAAAAATTGTAAACATACGCTCTTTCAAATTCTTGCATCTTTTCTGGAGCAAAACAATATAAAGATGAACTTAATGTTTGAAGCCACAGTCTTCAACAACCCCCTCAATAATTCATAGTGCCTTGACCCTCTCATCTCACTTAGAACACGTCTGTAAGAGCAGAGCACACATTTGGCCAATTGTACCCATTTCCTACCAATCTTTGAGACCAAATATTTCTAAAAGTTCCTTCTCAAATAACAATTGCAAAGAACTACCATATGTCAGTCAGAATTAAGGGAGAGATGAATTCTATTTGCCATCCATACTTTTTATTATTGTTAAGTGCCGTCAAGTCAACTCCAACTCATAGCGACACTGTCTGAGGTTTCTAAGGAGCGGCTGGTGGGTTTGAACTGCCAACCTTGTGGATCGAAGTCCAGTGCTACAAAAAAAAAAGGGAATGTGTGGAGAATGCGGAAGCCCAGGGACATGAAAAGTATATTGTTGCATGCCATGGAATCAGTTCTGACTCATAGCAACCCTGTATAGGGTTTCCAAGAAGTGGATTGTGAGTTTGAATCACCAATCTTGTGGTTCAAACCAACCTTGCACTACAGTGCTTTAACCCACAGCGCCATACCAGGACTTCATAAAAGTATAATAGAGGGAAATAGATCTAGGCAAAACATATTACTGGGGGACCATATGTACTGAACCTGTAGTACCAATGCCAAACTGACACATTCCAAATGTCCCTCAGACCCAGCTGTTTTCTCCCCACACCTGCTACTTCCAGAGCATCTCTTGGCCTTCTCATAGAGCTAAAGTATATATGGTTTTCAGAACTCATGAAAGTAACCTTCCCCCTCCTCAGTCCCCATCCTGTCAAATATTCTACTTTCAGAACACGAGTCAACGTCTTTAGTTTAGTCCCTTATGAAGCAGGAGCCAGAATATCTTGGCCACCTGCAAGTGACATTGTTGGGCCCAGAAAACCATTTAGTGGGAGAACGGGTTCCCAGGCTCACAGCATAAACTTTGAGCCCATCATAACTGTTTTGACTGCTGGCAGTATGAAACAGTCTACCCCACACCATGGCAGCACCGCTCACTGCTGCCTTGAGAAAGTTCAAACCAAGATGGCGGTCATCAAGTGAGAATGCAAACTTCAGGATCAGAACAGCCTGTGCAGTTTCCAGGATGATGTTTTGGCCAGGTGTTTTTGATTAACAGGGAGCTGCAAAATACGTGATGATTTTGTAGAGGATTATCAGGGTTTGTCCTTAAAACTCACTCACCCTGTCATCCCTAGTAATTGAGAATTACAATTAAGAGGGGGAAATTTCTGTACACTGTGTGAACAAGGCAGCATTTTACTAGTAGGTGATAGCAGGAAAATTATTTAACTGGTTTATAAAATCTATCAGTACTTGTGTCCTTCCCTATAAAAGGTGAAGACATATGATTGTGATCAGGAAACTACACAAAATTATTTTCTCAGCCCCATGTTATTGTGCTCGTGAACTTTTTTGTTTTAATAAAAACCAAATTTTAGTTGTATATATTCGTATTCCATGTGTTAGATGGAAGCATTTTCTATCCAGTGTGAATAAAAAGAACGGTTGTAGTAAATTATTATAAAGCCAATGATATTTCATGGCAGGTTATTCTACCAAGCTGTGCTTGTTGGTTTTTCCCATGACTGTATTGCTTTTATAAATGTACAAATAGTTACAGAAATGACGAGACCCTGTTTGCACAGCATTAATAAGAACCCTGAGTTCCTGACCCCTCTGCTCACAACCAGCGCAGAAACACTTGGCTGGCCTGGAGCGTGGTACGCACTCTACTGAGGCTCAAGGTCAAAAGCAGAGCTCAGGGATCAATGAAAGTCTTGCCGATATGGCCAGGGGTCACCTCATTGTAAATGTTGCTTGTATGGGCAGAGGTAATCTCCAGGCCTCATGGACCCTCAAGTCAACACACTATGTCAGACAGAAGAAAAATCCACCCAAGATTTAGGAGATAATGAGCAGCAGTTTCAGCCTAGTTCCAACTCAATAAAAACAACATTAATGCTGTGCACAATGGGTTGAATTAGTTTGCAAACTATATAAAGTTAGTTTCAATAAAACCCCTGTTAATGCACATCAGGTGGGAGCAGGGTGTCCTAGCCAACTGCCTTTTCTAGTTATTTGAGCTCTATTATATTATCATACATGGCTAGCCAATTTAAAAGAATTAGAATATGAATTTTTTAAATACACTTAACATTACACTCTTCTTCTAAATCTTTCTTTCTATGATAATTCAAAAGACAGTTATGAACCTTCTGAGTCATTGTTAATAAACATCAGTTCTCACTACACCATGCTATGGGAGACTGGGCTGAATCTGTACAATGACAAACCCTGAAAGTTGCTTTTTTTAAAAAAAAAATAATAAATTCCTAAAACCAAATGTTGTAGTGGTTGCCTCTTTGTGATAGAAAAAGTATAGGTTGTTCAAATGCATATATCTTCTGCTCCCTCCCTAGTTTCTTCTCTAGTTACACACTACTCCACACATTGTTGTTGTCATTGTTAAATGCCATCGAGTTGGTTCCAACCCATAGTGACCCTGTTTAGGGTTACCTAGGAGCAGTTGGTGAACTTGAACCACCAAATTTACAATTCAAACCGACTTTGCAGTCCAGCGCATGAATCCACAGCTCCACACTGCATATCCTGACCATCGTTATCTGTAGACGCCTTGCCTCCCTGACCAGTTTAGAAACTTTCAGAAGACAACAGCCTTGTTTTGTACTTTGCTGCTCCACAACCCAGAGCCTCCCGATGTGGCCTGCACAGTAGGCCAAAACCAAATTGTCTGAAGCCACTTGAAAACTGTAGGGGGCTTTGACATCATCAAGGATCAGAAAATTCATTAATAAGACATAGTATTAATCAGAGAAATTCTTAGCAAAGAGGTCTAAACTTAGTAGGACTGCAACAAGTGTAGGGATTTCAAAGTTATATTTGGAAGCTTCCAGACTAAAATGGACTAAAAACAAACACTGGTGATATGCTTCTAAAAATCAACAATGAAAACCCTATGGATTATAATAGTTCAATCCAGTGGTACCACCAGAATTGGTGTCACTCAGTGCAGTAGCCACCTTGGACTCAAGTCATTTTGGTATCAGTTTTTCTGATTGTGTCAGGAGGGTGTCATCTGCTGCATCCAACCCACCCCCCTTTAGTGATGCTATTGGTCCAATCCTCCACCCATCATAGGGGAGCATTTTATTCCTTTGTGCACCAGGTCACCCTGAGTCAGGAACTAACAAGTGCAGAAAAAATTCGCCATCATCTCATTATACTACCCAGGCATTGGCTTTAGCTGCCTGCAAAGGAAGTGTGGCTATGGATTATCTTACAGAGCAAGGAGTTTGAGAAGTCTGCAGCTGCTCATGAAACCAGACAGCATTACAGATAACGCTACACTCAGTACTCT